TTACACTAAAATGAAAAGGGTTACAACCTCTGCCAAGTTTTAACTGCTGTCTATTGGTCACTGTAGCTCATGACGGAGACTGAAAGTTATGAGAAAGTTCAACATATGAGTTGTCACCTTAACAGGTACAAAGGGGAAGTCTTCGAATTGTGACACCTATTCCAGTGACAACTAAGGAGGGATTTACCTTAACTTCCTACTGTGTCTACTGGACAAGAAGTGAAGAGAAATCTCCCCCATTTGGACAAAGGGCAAAAACACCTGACAGGAGTTTACATTGTTTCCTACTTAAAAGGAGAACTATGAGGTTAGGGCTTTTCCCCATAGTTCTCCTTAGGATAACGGGAGGACACAAACTAGCATCCTCCCGTCACCCTAAACTCAGTATACCGCGAGCTACAGCTCGCGGTATACTGAGTCGCCGCAGCCGGGACGGATCCCGACATTACTGTCGAGATCCACCCAGCTGTACGAGTGACAGCTGACTCTCCCTAGGTAGAGGCAGAGCCAGCTGTACGCGCCCCTCCCCCATCGTTCCGCCAGTCAGCGCTAGAGGATCGGACAGAGGAGGGGGGGAATCCCTGCAGGGAGCCATGAGTGACAGTCACGGCTCTCTGCAGGGGCAGGATCGAGAAGTGAGCGAGCGACACTTCCCGATCTATTGAGCCGGCCCGTGACAGTTTCAGTCACAGGTCGGCTAGAACTATGAGGCTGTGATTTTCACTCACCTCTTAGTTCTCCTTTAAGGCCTGATTCACACCAAAGCCACAGCGGTTTTGCACATAAACGCATGCTATTTGCTGCATTTTCATGCACATATTAAACATACATGTTTTTACAAGCAGATTGTGACACATTGAAGTAAACGGACAAAATGCACACAAAACAAATTGCAACGTGCATTTTCAAACCTTTCCTATTGAATCTATGGGGCCAAAACGAGCGGAGATCTGCCCCAAAGAAGTTCATGTACTTTTCCCAGCGACAGGCATTTTGCTTATTGCGATAAAACGCTCAGGTGTGCACAGGGGCCATAAGAATGAACTGAACTTTTTTGGTGAAGCTTTTTATTGCACTGAATCAGCTGCGACAATACGCTTAGTGTGAACCAGGCCTTGTACAGAAAATGTAAACATTCTGATTTGAAATATGTTTTCAGCCCCGAGTAGTAAAGTCAGGATCAGATTGGTAGCCTGTAACTTTAGATCTGAATTGCAGGTAAAAAAACATTATTTTGGCATTTGCCACGTAAAGATAAAATAACAGCTAATGAAGCGTGTACAGTCGCTTGCACCCCACCTCATACATAAAGTACAGCTGCTCCAAAGTGTTCTGTGAAAGGACGAGAGTAGGAGGATAAATGTCAATCTCCCCTCATCCACTCACAGAAAACCCTGTATTATGCAATATAAGAATACAAGATATTTTTTGAATGGTCAAGGTGTTGTGCAAGTGAGCTTTTATCAGCACCATACTGAAGCCAGGACTGTAAGCTTCAATACTGGAAGTTCGGTGCTGACACTAGTGTATATGTATGAAAACAACGGTCTTAGCTAACATAGCAGCAGCCACACATGCTAGATCCATCATTTAAGGTATTTATTTTAACATTGCAAATGTAGAAAAACAAAGTTAGCTGAGGCAGCTTTCATATGTATTTTTTCACAGACTGGTTTTATAAACGACAGATAACCATTACAACTGAAACAATGTAATCCGTTTATACACTGATAGACATGCAACACCAAGACTGGCTCACACCACATCGCATGGCAATGCATAGCCCATAAATTGTGAGGACTGCCGTGCGGTGTGTAGGCTTGCTACGTTGCTATAAGGTCAGCCTCATGTTGTAATGTGCCGAGATAAAATTATGCCTGCATCATTTTATCACAATGTACACCAACACAACATATTGGTGTGAGCAGGCTCTATGCAGAGCAAGGCATTTTGTCTTGTTTTTGCATTGGGACTGCGTTAGGCAGCACCGCCCGACGTAGCCCAATGGGAATAAAGTGAACCAGCCCTTACAGTTTATTTTTTTTCGTCATTTCAAGTCTGATGAAGGGGACTCTGTGTGGCCCCGAAACTTTGTCATTTGTTTTGGCATGAAGCATGAGACGTGTCCTTCACTTCAATATGGTGTGCTGGTGACATCTTTAAAGGAGAACTATGAGGTGAGTGCTTTTCACTCACCTCATAGTTCTAGCCGACCTGTGACAATGAGACTGTCACAGGTCGGCTCAGTAGATCGGGAGGTGAGCGAACATATACCAGCGTTCGCTCACCTCTCGATCCTGTCACGGCTCTCTGCCGTGACAGGGGAGGGGCTGGATTCCCCCCTCCCCGATCCGCCAGCGCTGACTGGCGGAACAGACGGGGGAGGGAGCGGGTACAGCTGGCTCTGCCTCTAGATAGGCAGAGCCAGCTGTCACTCACGCAGCTGGGCGGATCTCGACATCGATGTCGGAATCCGTTCCGGCGTCTCAGTATACCGCAAGCTTTAGCTCGCGGTATACTGAGCTTAGGGTAACGGGAGGAGGCTAGTTTGTGTCCTCCCGTTACCCAAAGGAGAACTATGGGGAAAAGCCCTGACCCCGTAGTTCTCCTTTAACAAGTTCCAGCCCTTACAGTTTCTCTCGTGTAGTCTAAATCTGCAGTTTTGTATTACAAATAAACAAACAAACTGTAACACACAAAAGATGTAGGTTGCGAATAGAGATGCACTGATACCGATTTTTTGGTATCGAGTGCCGATATTTTAAGTCCCATTAAGGAAGCCAGGCGGCGTGTAATGACTTGCCCCCTAGCTTCCTAATTAGCCGGGAAGCTGGGCAGCGTGTAAAGACCCGCCACCCGTCTTTACAATTAGCAGGGAAACCGTCTCCATAATCCCTCATCACCAGGTGACGAGAGCATGGAACCGGCTTTCTAGCCAATCAGTAAGCCAGACACCGTGCAATGACGCGGCGCCCAGCTACCCGATTGGACGGGAAGCCGGCTCCATGCCCCCTCATCATCAGGTGACGAAGGAACATGAAGCCGGCTTTCTTACCAATCAGAAAGCCAGGGGGCATGTAATTACTCGCTTCCCAGTTTCCCGATACCAGAAGCTCAAGTATCGGGCTAGGCATCGGAGCATTTGGGCGAGTACATGTACACATACTCAGCATCAATATTAGTATTGGTGCATCCCTAGTTGCGAACATTAACACTCATACACTCAACATACATACTTGTGGCCAGCTCCACCCCAATCTGTAGATGGCACATTAGTCACAAGGTGATATAACATGGCTAGAAGGTACTCAGAATAGTATCAATGGTGATAGTTGAGGTTAAACGGCAGAGGCATCCACATTTATCAAAAGGTCCCCATATCCTGCTGAATTTCTTCGGGTATGCCCTAGCCTCATACATTAGTTTGTACCTTGTGGACCAGTGCTGTAAACATCCTAATAGGAGGCTGAGGGCTCTTCCACTGAAATAAGACGGCCATACAGGCATAAAAACAAAACAGCCTGAGCAGAGTTCTCTCAGCAGAATGGGAGATGAAGGATTGAAAATACCAAGTAACCATACTTCCAGAGTTAGAGAGCGTGGGACCCAGTTTTGCTTGTGGCCAGTAGTGATGTGCAGGGGGCATGGTGTGAACCTAGTTCACCTGCATTCCCCCAAGCTCCAAGGGTCAGGAGGAGGGGTTAAGTCACAGCTGTGTGCAGGTTTGGGTCAACTTGGATCACACCAAGCACCCCCCAAACACACACCCACACCACCACCACTTCACTACTATCCAGTAATTCTGGAGGCAATCATACCACCAGAAACGGTTAAGTAAATCCGCAGGTTCAGTCACCTTATCATAGAGCCCCATGTGTTAGGAGTCACTTGTGTATTCTAATAGCAAGCTCCAGGGCCAGAGAAGAGCCCCATCACTCAGATGTAAAAGAAGCCCTGCAGTCCTGCTGCTGAAAAGCTGGATGTGTTTTTGTCACAAGCAGTAAGGACATCACCCGTATGCAGCTATAATGTTTATTTCCCATGAAGAGGAAACATGGGACCCAGTGAAGGTGAACTGATGGAGAGAACCCGAGGGCTGCCACCATACACGTGCATTTGTTGACATCTGACCAGAACACCGATCTAAGCTCTCCCCTGCCTTGTACAGTGTGCCCTCTATGTGCGCATCTCCCCATTAGTGATCTCATCAGACACTGGGTCCAGGAGAAGCTCTCAGATCACATCTGGTACCGATCTCAGGCCACACTGTATAGAGGGTCCCCGGGTCAGTAACGACCCCCTTTGCCCCCTATAGACACCAGCCAGGCTGCCCAGATCTAGGCAGGGTACAGTCAGGAGAAGATACTCACACAGCTCGGAGTAACGATGGGCTCCCCGACACAGCTGCTGCAGGTACCTGTGCAGGACATCGGTGAGCAGGTCGCAGGCGGTAACCTGCACGGAATCCCAGCCTAAAGCTTGGCAGATCTGCGCCACCGACACCCGCAGCAGCGAGCGCGAGTAGCTCTCACACATCCCGATTTATCCCGCTCCCATCACACGTCCAGGCGCCTCGGGATCTCCGCTTCTCCTTCGATTAACCGCACGGCTCCTTCCGCGCTCTCACTCCTGCCGCCATCTTTGCCTTTCCTCCCCTCGTCGCTTAGCAGAAGCTGCAGGACGTACCAATCCATCGCCGAGCGGATCGATCGCGCTACTTCCGGTTGTGATCTATCGCTCGGGAGTCAGCCATTTCCAGACGAGGGAGGGGTTATAGAGAGGCGAAGAGGTGACAGGGGAAACTCCTCCCAATGTAAAGGGAGGAGGAGGGGGGAGCGCAGAATACTACACATTACTTTCTTGTACTGCACAGGTATGGAGTGGATCGTACATTGCTGTGTACGTCTATTTGTAGGGGTCTGTTACTAGGCAGGTGATCTGTACAGATGTAAAATGGAAGCGATTCTACAGACAAAACATTGGGGGAATTTATCAAAACTGAAGTAGACAGAATCTGGAGCAGTAGCCCATGGCAACCAATCGGCATCTCTCTTTCATTTCCAAAGGCTAACTGAACAAACATGACAGAAGCTGATTGGTTACTGTAAGCAACTGCTCCAGTTTTAATAAATTCCCACCACTGTTTTTTGTTTTCGGTAGTGTGAATGGGTATGGAAGGCTATGTTACCAGGGCAGCAGCCTTCACTACCCTTTGAAAAAGCAATCCACACTGAAAAGCTTTCTAGAGGATGGTGGAGCAGAGGGTGCCCAGCATTCCGGAGACAATCACGCCACCTCCTAAATGCAGTTTTTTTTTTTCATTTCCAATTGCAATTTCCTATTGCAATATAGTGCCACAACCACATACCGACCATTGCAATTGCATTTCCAATTGCAATTATTTGTCTGACAAACGTCACCGCCTGATATGATATGCTGGGGGGCTTTCCGCAACGCAAAGTATTGCAGCTGCCGCAATGTATACAGTATTGATCCTGACCCTTACAATGGCGTAGAGGCCATATTGGAGGGGGAACCAAATTGAATAGCAAATGGCAACTTGCTATCAGAATCCGTTTCCCCTTGGCAACAAGGGTCTGATGAATTGAAGAACAGTGAGGATGGTCTATCTGGGGTGTGGGGCATGCTTATAATGAGTATTGCTGATTAAGATTATCATTGTTGATTACAATGAGCAGTATGGATTACGATCGGTTGTATGGATTAAGATTATAAATGTGGATTAGGATGAGCGGACTATGATGAGTGGATTATGATGAGCGCTGCAGACTATGACGAGCGCTGCGGATTATGAGCATTTTGGAGTTTAGCAGAAAGTGAGAAAACTCTATATACATGTGTCTGTGTTAAGTTCTCATTCACACACATATACAGATAAATAAAAATATGTTTATTTTGAATCCTGTGTTTTATCCTGTGGAGAATAGAAGAGGACATCAGCATAAGAGTGTGGAGGAATGTGAGGGACAGACGATCTCATCGAGCAGAGTCCAGAGATCACATCGCAAACACTGTCATCTCTAACAGAAAACCGGAGCTTCGAGAGAGGCGGGACAGAGGCGGGTCTATGTAGATTCATATGCAGCTGAAGGGAGGAAAAGCAGTTACGGAAATAGCCGAGCGGCTGGGGGAACAGATCTCGACGCGAAACGGAATTCGACACAACACGGGTAAGATATCAGTGGGCAAAGTTTCAGAGTGAGGCTTGCCTCCTGGAGGAAGGTCATGTGATCTCTAGAGTAGCCTCATAACGAGGCTTGGCTCTCAGAAGGAAGAAGCTACTTGCTGGACAGAGAGGGCAGACATATACTACTATTGAGAGCAGGTACAGGCACTGCTGCAGGGTTGAGAGAGTGCTGTTAACCATTTGTGGATAATATAGAATCAATTATATGTCCTGGTTGTCTATTGTATAGACAATGGATGTATTTCATTTGCTGCCCATAGCAACTAGTCAACTGTGTATCAGGGACTTTACTCCTCAGCGTTTTTTAAAAAAAAGGTCTAAGGGCTGTCTAATAAATTGTGACCTTTACACCGACAGATACTTGAACATCAATTCACAAATCTGATTTATATATATATAAATAAATATAAATAAGTGTCTTGTTCTGTACACCGTTCCTCCTTTCATGCCCCAATCTATCTGCCGTGTCTTGTTCTGTGTCTCGTTCCTCCTTCCATGCCCCAATCTACCTGCCGTGACTTGTTCTGTGCTTCGTTTCTCCTTCCATGCCCCAATCTACCTGCCGTGTCTTGTTCTGTGCCCCAATCTACCTGCCGTGTCTTGTTCTGTGCCCCGTTCCTCCTTCCATGCCCTGTTCTGTACCCCGTTCCTCCTTCCATTTCCCAATCTACCTGCCGTGTCTTGTTCTGTACCCTGTTCCTCCTTCCATGCCCCAATCTACCTGCCGTGTCTTGTTCTGTACCCCGTTCCTCCTGCCGTGCCTTGTTCTGTGTCCCGTTCCTCCTCCTGCTGTGCCTCCGCTGCTCCCCGTGACCGCCTCTTCTGCTGGCGGTAGAAAGCCGAAGTCTTCCATCCAGCGGCTGGAAACAATAACCAGTCAGGGGCACCGACATAGAAAAACGGCGATTGCGCTACACATATCAGGTATCGCGTATTTTATTTTAAATCAAGGATTTTTTTTAATTCGATTAATCAAAGTTAATAATGGGCCAACTAATCGATTATCAAAATAATCATTAGCTGCAGCCCTATTAATAAGTCAGGGCCCAGTCACACCATATCCAGTGTGTTCCGGCGCGGTCCAAGCCCAGAACGCAGCCCTCAGTTGCAGTGCAATCAAAGAAAATACTGCATGCACTATTTTCTCCAATCGCACTGCACTCAAATGGAGGGCATTCCTGTACCCTGTATTC